ATATTGTTTATTTAACAATATATTATATATTATTTATTTAATTTTTTTTAATAATAATTTATACTATATTATTATTTACTTAATTATATATTTATATATTGTATTATTTATAGAGAAATTAAACGCTGCATGAACGAGAAATTAAATAAACAATTAATAACAAATTTGATCGTAGAACTCTGTGGTGAACAGCGTTACGAGAAGCCGTTGAGGTCGAATTCCGTGCTGCGCATCACCGAACATAAGTGCACGGCTTGCCAAGGCGAAATGAAAGCAGAATTCGAGTGGCGAAGAAAGGATTCGAGACTGATCCGGTCCGCGGATTTCGCGCTCGGTCTCGAAAAAAAGCCGACGATGGGCGACGACGTCCCGTGCAGAAACGGATTACCACCGATGAAGATGACAGTGCCGCGGCCGAAGACTCCCTTTGCGAGGCGCACTTTCTGCATCGACACTCTGGCACCGCCGTTCAGCGTAGTGAATGGCTGCCGGGATGCCGACTATCCCGAACACTGGCGCCTCATGTCTGTGTACCAGCAATCGTACAAGAACCCGCAAAAACGAAAGGCTCGCCGCTTCTAATCAAGCCGAGGATGAGCCTAATAAGGGAAGAGATATGAACTCTGTTTTGGTCGAATTAGCTAAATTAAATACAATTTTATGCAGTGAATCTCTTTCAAGATTCGCTGTCCGTTAAAGAATTAATTCCGATTATTATTGATTATTAATCGTTATAATAAGAGAATTTTATAATATTTCGTTGAAGTTTTCATTGTTAAATAAATGATTAACCCTTAAAAGGAAACATAGGAAAAAAAATCTTCCTCTGATTTCGTTGCGCTTTTAATATGTTGTAATTGAAACCGTAATCCTTAATATATTTATTTTAATATTTTGATACGTATTTTTAAGGAGTGACACCCAATCGATTAGTTTTTTTTGTCAAAACTAGAAAAGATATGAAACATTTTTTTAAATTAAATAATTTTAAAAATATAATAATGATATACAAAAATATTTTTAATTAATTTTTCGTTTATAAAAAAAATTTTAGATGTTTTTATTATTATTATAAAGTACTCTTAACATATTTAACTTTTGTTTATTAAAAAATTGTTTTTCATCTTTTCTACTTTTTACGAAAGAAATGTGTATGGACACGTATAAAAAGATATTACTTATTTTATCTAGATTTATAACATTAAAAAGCTTATCAAAAATTGGAAAAAAAACATTTTCCTGTGTTTTCCTATTTTCTGTACTCAATCAGAAACCGACGTCGATTCCATTATCATTTCTGACTGAATAGCTCAATAAAATGTTGCCATTATATAATAATTATATAGTATAATAAAATATGAAATATTGAGAAGTTATAAAAAAATGAACGCAGAGTTAAGATAATAATAAAGAAAACTAAAATAAATAAAGAAGAAAACAGAAAATAGAAACATATCTCGTACTCACAACATTCGCCTTAGTCCTTCTTCTTGATTTTTATACTGCTGATATTGACATTCCCGGTCATCGTCATCAGCGAATCTGACTCGCGGATCTTCTCAAGTAACGGCGTCTGCTCCAGACGCTCGAGCATGACATTTTGCAAATACGTCAGAAGATTGGGATACGACATCAGGGCATTTTGAAAGTCGACACGCGACAATATATGGACCTCGCAATTTTCCGCGGCAATGACGCTCGCGATCCAACGCTCGTCTTCCATCAGCAAAGCCAATTCGCCGAAGTACGCTCCATCTTCCAAGTGACAGATCTGCGAAAACACAGAAGTGATTCAACTGATTCAAGTAACATAACATTAATGTTATAGTTTCAACAATTACACATGTAATTATTACACTAAAAAGAATTATTTATTTGACTAAATTAATTTGGTTGCCTTTATTTCTTTTGTTAGAGA